ATGATGACCACATGTGTGTCAAAGTAAAATGTACCCCCTAGGGTTTTCAAATAGACGTCCCAGCTTTTCTCCTGAGATGCCTCTGGGTAGACTCTAACCTCCAATCTCTTGGTTAGCTCCCAAGCAAATTAACAGTTTGCACCACCCAGGGACTCCCCAACACAGCCTTATGGAAGGAAATTCAGTGAGCATATGTGTTCACGATATTAGGGTCAAAGAAAATATTTAATTTTGTAAAATTACATTTTTAGAAGTTAATGTGCATTTTTAAGTCCCTATGCCAAGACTTCAGGAGCTCTGGTGGGACAGTGCCTAAGGCATTTGACTGCTAACCAGAAGGCTGGTGGTTCAAACTCACCAGCCACTCCTCGGAAGGAAGATGAGGCAATCTAATTCCATAGTGATATTGCCTCAGAAACCCAAAGAAGGGTCGCTATGAGTAGGGTCCGAATCGACGGCACATAACAACAACAACAACATGTAAACCTTAGGATGTAAACCTTAAATCTGAAGGAACTTAAATAAGAGTGATTTTTTTTTTTTTTTTAAATAAGGTCAGTGTAACAAGTCCTCCAGAAAACATGCATTGAAGAAACCCAGGCTGATTTCAAAACTGAATAAAAATAATAACAATAATACTTCTCGTACTGATGAAACTTCTTTTGACAATTTATTTTCTAAGCAATGTAAACAATATTCAGGAACTTTGAGAAAATCTTATCGATTCTCAGTGTTCCTCCATTTGCTTATGATAAAGGCCATTTTTAATAGAAATAGCTACTGAAGGATCTCTCTCTCTCTCACTGCCATCGAATCAGATCCGACTCAGAGCAACCCCTCCTTGGGTTTCCAAGGCAGTATCTCTACAGAAGTAGATTGCCCAACCTTCCTTCCGAGGAGTGGCTGGTGGGTTTGAACCCCCAGCCTTCTGGTTAGCAGTCAAATGCCTTACGCACTACACCACCAGAGCTCCCTTACTTAAGGATAACTGAAAATTTATTTCCTCTATTTATCCAGGTTTCTGGTGCTAGGTTTGTATTTTCTTTTTTCTTCGTTTCACTACCTTTTCTCTACTTTAAAAATATTTCAATGTCCATTTCCAAGGAGTTGTTACTGCAAGTATAAGAGATAGCACTTTTTGTTTTTCTTATTTTAAGGCTCATTCATATTCCCCTCTACACAGATATGAATAACAACAATTCCAGTTCACACTTCGGAGAACTTAACACGTGCACTGGGCATTGTACCAACTATATGTGCTATTTTATTACCTTACTTATTCCTTAAAACAACCATGAGTTAGATACTATTATTATCCTTTCTACAGATGGAGGAATGGAACAGGACTAGCTTAAGAAGCACACCTGAGTTGACACTGTACAAGCAGGGAGGACAACGCTGTCAGATTTACTGATATTTAGAAAATAAACTTTATATAAAATCACTGTAATTTGCCTTCATTTACTTTATTTTAAAATCAAACACCCATGGGATAGTTAGCACTTCAAATTGCTGATAGCTTCTTACTATGAGCAGTTTATCAAATTATTTTGTTTGTTGACATGAGAGTTGATGACAACAAAAGCCCACAGGGTCCTGAGTGAGAAAGGGAATCAAATGAGGAAGAAAAGGTGCTAAAAGAGGAGTTTTGAGATATTACCACTTAGGAGCTCAACTAGATTTAAAGACCAGCCTTCGTACTATAGACTCCGCCTCTATTCCAAGTTTCCTACAATGTACTCTTCTCTTTAGTTTTCCCAAAGCCCAAAGAACGCTGGTTAATGGAAAATCTATGAAATAGGACATTTTACTGCTCTTCTTGATCCTCTGTCAGTTTTAAAAATACATTTTAACTTCTCAATGTCTGTCCTTCTTACTTTTTCCTTACTCTTCTTTGTCTTGGATTTTTTTATATTATTTTCATAATCTAGTTAATCCTGAATTTTCTCCCTTTACATATGATCTTGACCATTTCTTTAAATGATTTTCTAGTTTACTCTTCTTATTCTTATTTATAGTTTTATTTCTTCCCTCTAGTAATTCTTTCATTTTCCTTTCCTTGGCTTTTTCTCTCCTTTCTCTTTAAGGACCTATGTTAACTCTAGACTGCTCTGTATTTCAAGAAAACAATACTTTCTGAAACAAAATTGTTCACAGTATCATAGCTCTGGGTCTTCCTCATCAAAAACATCAAGTTCAGGAGGAAAGGCATTTAGGGGTCCATATCCATCTCCTCCCAGGTTTACTCAATATGGAGTATAACTACCCTTTCTCATGAAGATTACCTGTATGTCAGCCAGATAGAGTCAATAGCCCATGGCATGTGGTTAGTAGAGAGTAATAGTAGAAAGTTGAAAAACTAAATCAATTACCCAGTTAAGTAGCTTCAGTTGCAAGTAACAGAGGCAATTCAATCTGGTTGAAACAAGAAAAGCTCATATAACTGGAAACTCCGTAAACAGTGTTACCACCAAAACTCTACATTCTTTTAGTCTATCTGCATTCCCTTCTACAGTACTTTGAGTACAGGCATGCCTCTTCTCATGAACTCAGCAGATCCCTGACTAAATGCCTCCTTGTTTACATGCAGCAAAAAAAAGCAGTACCAGTACAAGTCCTAAGATTCGATTGGACTGGTGTTGGTCACACACCTTCTGCTGAACCAATCATCATGGAAGGGAAGGCAGGATGCAGTGATTTGCTAATCCTAGTACATGTGCTCTGAGGCCAGTTAGACAGCTCAAGTTTCAGAGAAGGAGCAAGGAGGAATTAATTGTACACTGGAAAGCAATCAGCAAATGTCCACTGCATGAGGCAAAGCTGAATACAAATAGTGCAAAATAAAAAGCAGTAATTTGATCAATGTATGATCTTTTGCCAGGGCGTTATTTTTGATAATTATAAGATTATAAATACAAATAAATTTATTTTATTTTAGGAAAATGGAGCACTTCTGCATTTTTTAAAAAATCAATTCCTTTAGAAACTCTTTCTGAGAATACTGGTCCTAACAGTTATTTTGAATGTTCAATAAGGCAGTATCACTACAGAAATCACTACCAACCTTCCTTCTGAGGAGTGGCTGATGGGTTTGAACCACCAGCCTTCTGGTTAGCAGTCAAATATCTTAGGCACTATGCTACCAGGGCTCCTATTTAAATGTTATTATTGGAATAAATAAATAAATAAATAAATGTTATTATTGTTAAATAACGAAAATAAAGAAGTAACAATAATAATGAACCACATCAGATGACTATCTGATAAAATAATGATGTTCCTGGGGGAAACAAACACTTATACCTCTTTTTAAGGAAATTATATAAACTCAGAATTAACTCAACAGCAACTAACAACAGTTATATAAACTCAGATTAAGCAAATGGGGGGGATCACTCTTAAAAATAAGAAGAGAGATACTGCATAAATGAGCAACTGTCTTTCTTCTCTCCTAATCCCAAACTCATTGTACTTATTTTGGCTAAACAAGGAGTTTATGAAATTAAAGGCCAGGATGTTAATAACTGATGACACTGAAAAGTCATCTGCATGGTCATTTGCGAGTAGGGGGTGAGGGTCATTTTTACAGTGGTAGTTATTTGTAAATAATTAGACCATATAATCTTGAAGTAAATGAATGCCAATCTTTAGTCCCCACTACCTATACTACCACCCCTCCCCCAAAAAAATAAGTGTACTTTCTAGAGCTTCTGGATGTTAATTTCAAATAAATTCTTCCCAATAAGTAGAAAACTCTTATTTTCTCAATACTGAAAAAAAAGAGTGTTATCTGCAATAATGAGTCATCAGGCACTGCAGCTCCACAACATCCAGGCCTTTCCCTGTCTCTGCAGCTCTTCCAAAGGAGAAGACTATCTTTTAATGACAGACATAAATCCCTGCACTGCATGGCTGCAAAACATAATTCTGGCCTTTTTGTACTTAATGAAACACCTTGCACACATGACAGCAGTGGGTTTGAGCTTCTTGTGTGCACCTAAAATAGGAAAAGAAAAGCCCTATATATTTCCTAGTTCTTTTCAAAATGCTCTCTAGTCACATTTCTATGAGCTCTGCCATTATTTCTTTAAAATACATGTCTTATAAGAGCAAGTCATGCTAAAGAAAACTTACAATCAACCACCTGTATGAATAATTTTCTTCACTTTAAAGTGTAGTTGTTGTTGTTATGTGCCATTGAGTTGGACCCGACTCATAGCGATCCCTCCTTGGGTTTCCGAGGCGGTATCACTACGGAAGTAGATTGCCCAATCTTCCTTCTGAGGAGTGGCTAGTGGGTTTGAACCGCCAGCCTTCTGGTTAGCAGTTAAGTGCTTAAGACACTGCACTACCAGAACTCCCAGTAGAGTGCTTTGTTTTTCAAATTCTTGGCAGTAAACCATTTGTTGTTACTTCCCAACTTGCGGCTGCCACAGAAGGGTATTTAAAGGAAGCAGTCTCTCAGATGGAGCTGCTCAACATCATTTATCTGGGAGCTCTGGTAGTGTAGCGCCTAAGGCATCTGACTGCTAACCGGAAGGCTGGCGATTCAAACTCACCAGCCACTCCTCGAAAGGAAGGTTGGGCAATCTACTTTTGTACCGATACTGCCTTGGAAATGCAAGGAGAGGGGTCACTATGAGTTGGATCCGACCCAACGGCAGTGAGTGAGTTTGGTTTGGTTTGTTTGTTTTTTCATATCTTAATATATACTTACATGCTGCATTACAGAGGACATTCATTGAGAATCTCAAAAAATAAATTTTTGAGGTTCCATTTCAAAACATATATACGAGTAAAATCTAAAACACAAAATTTAATTGAATGATTTACCTTTACCTCATCTTTTAAATATTCAATTATTCTACCTTTACTTGAGCTGTCTTAAAAGCAAATGCCTTCTTTTAAAGAAGTTGGTACTGCTATAAATGTAGTTTCCTTGATTTAATTATAAAAGGTACCAAAAACAAATGAGTAGTGAAATACAGAATGCCTCTCACCTGTTTAGGTGTAACCCCAGGCATGCGAATATCCAGTGCAAAATCTGATGAATCGATTGGAATTACTGGCCTGGAGGTACCAAGGCATTCACTGGGAAACGATCTGGTAGTCTCCTTAAACCTTAAAAAGGAAGATAATTTCAGTATCTTTGAACATAATGGAATTTTAACCTGAGAAGGAAAAAAGGGAATTTTATGATCTTAAGATTAAAGATTATTAACTGAGACCCGAGGAAAGCCCTAATGATGTGAGATGTCTGTCTTAAACAGACTCAGCACTGCATTGTATAGTCCAAGAGCAATATATATCCAATTGATATAGAAAATAAAATAAAAACAGTCAAGCAGGTGACATATAAACCTCAATTCAACAAAAATTTGTGAAAATATGTGTGTTACTAATGAATGAAGACATAGAGATAATAAATTAGAAACGATTACAGGTGTACCCATTTACCTAATGGTAGAAATAGTAACCATAGCTCTGTAAAAAATTTGTATTTTATTAATCTAAGTATTACTAGGGTGGACCCTGCCCCCCAAAAAAAGAGAAAGAAAAACTACAATAATAATCTTGCCAGGCAAAACTGTATGAAGGGAAAAAAAGATTGCGATGTGAATTACAAACGTACAAGAGTATAAATATTTAATACAGTAATTATGAGGAGTGTGTATACAACTCAATATTTTCTTGTGAGCTATTACAGTCCACGATCTGTTTCTGGGCATTACTGACCTGTCCTGGTATTTCATCCTTCAAGCTGTTATGAACAAGAAGGTATTCATGTCTAAATGACTATATGGCAGTTTCTGAAATATCTCCCCAAGAGGGAGTGATTAGTATTGGGAATCACAACTTCCAATTGGAGTTTTGAAAGCCAGAGCGGCTTGGCTACAATACAGTAGTAGGTTTCTTCTATAAGGGGACTTTATAAGAAAGAAGTTACTGTGCTAAAAATCCAAGTCGTTTAGGCAAAGTAAATCAACCTTGTGCCTTTCTCCAACCCTCGGGTTCGTAAAAGTGATTACATTTCTAAAGAGCATGCATAGAAAAGACCCAAACAATATTTCGTCTGTTAAAAAAAAAAAAGACACCCACCTCTTAAAGACAGAAAGTGGGCTTCTGTAACCCAAACAGCTGCTTTGAAAAACAAGGAGGAGAACTAGCAGGCTAAGAGCGTAGCCAGCCATGTCCACGCCGCTCCAGCCCCGCCGGAGAGGAGCGGGCGGGCAGTGCAGCGCGGGGCTGGGGCCGGCAGTCGGGCAGCGGCACCGACAGCAGCCGCTACTTCATGGCAGGGGCGCGGCGGGCGTCCTGCGGCTCCCACACACCATCTGTCTGCTAGAGCAGAGAGCAGGACAAGGCGAGGTGTTTAGATCACGAGCCTCGGGCAGAAAGCCGTGCGAAGGCGGTACTTTTGTCCAGTCCACAAGCGGAAGCTTTCCTCCCTCCAGAGCTGATGCTTTTTTTTTTTTTTTTTCTGCCCTGGTGTTGGGGCTAGACGTGTGGGTTCCTTATCACTCCGAAATGACAGGGACTGTGAGGAGTATCATTCAAACCAGCGTCAGTCATCATTCAGAACCTGCAAAAATAGAAGCAGATAATGGATGACTAACACATTACAGCATTTGTCCTCAGCAAATCTCGGTTGAGATTTTTTTAATACATTAGTAGTTTCACAAGCTTGAGCCCAAGCCCGGGGAAAATGCTGGTCTGTTGATCTTCCTCCCCCACGATCAGCCCCCCAAATTTCACAAACCCCCATCACCCTTTATGCCATTTGCTCTTTCTTCCTCCCACTCCCCCGTTTTCTTTTCCTACTTCTTTCCCCTTCTCACATCCACCTCAGTCTCGTATTTTTCTTTTCCTCACTTCCTTTATCACTTAAAATGCATTTAAATCTCTGCTAAATGTAAACAAAGTTATTCACACAAAGGTCAGGCCAAGGCACAAGGGAAAAAAACACCAAAGAGAGGCTGAGACAAAGCATTTGGATACAACAGTAATCATATCGAAAAAGACTTTGAGAACAAAGGCATGGTTGTATATACATATATGTGTGTGTGTATGTATACATATATATTATATATATATATGCATCACAGAGCTACAGATCTGAAGAGGAAGATAACCCCTGCCAAGAACTCACAATGATTATGAAGAAAGTAATCGCTTAAGTTCTTAGAATTATTTTAGGCAAGTCAAAAATCTACATTAACATATTATTGTATATGGCATGTAAATGACCATTTAGAAATCCTGCACGTGATACGCAAAGTAATTCTTGCTAATAAGGCATGCCTCCCAAAAGACATTCTTTCTTAAATAAAGTTTAGAGATTTACAGCAATTAGAAACAGTAGGGGGCATCAACAGCTGGCCCCAAATTGGATTTTATCTATAAAAGATACAATCAAGAACTTCATATTAATGAAAATGAGAGGCCACACTTTTTGAAGAAGACTCAACTAGGCTAAAATGATAATGTGCATATTTTGACTTTATGTATTTTAAAGTATTTCAGACTTGTATCCAGTTTGTAAATTGGAGTCAGAAGTTATTAATTATGTATCATTCACATCATAAAAAATAAATTAGAAAAAAAGGATTTCTTCAAGTTTTTATTTTAGTGAGTAATTATAAATATGGTTAGGACATTCCCAAATAAATCCATTTACCAGTCAAATAATGGAAAAAACAAACAAACATATTCATGTAGAAGGGCTCCAAAACATTATATGATCCTCTAAATTATCCTCTTGAAATACTAAGGCTACTAAAAATCAAAACAAAAACCCCAAAACACACAAAAGAGAACTAACATTAAAGTAAATGAGACAACTTCATGGTCAGGAGCTTTCTAGAAAAAAGATACTTTATACCAAATAAACATAAAACATGATTAAATATTCAACCAATCCAAGGCTGTTGAGGCTTCCCTAGCACCCAAGGGACAACAGTTAACTTACATAAGCAATAACATTTTGAGAAGACTGATAATATTTGTTTGAACTTTCTCTTTGGCTTGCTGTTTAAGCTTTCAGCAACAGAAAAGCTTTAGCTTTGTCCTTATCCTGCGGGTAATAGAAGAACTCCTTGTGGGGAAGAGAAAAACTTGGCCTGAAGGCTATGCTATTGCCTTTGCCAACAACAAAGCAAAATTCTGTCAAATGACAATACTTAACATTCCCTGAAGTTCTTTAGGAAAAAAAAAAAGTGAAGAAAGGATTCAATTTTTATTATTTCATGCAAAACAGGATTCAAGGACAGCCTTTCTTCAAGTTAGCAAGGAGATATGGTATTATATAAACTTGAAAACAAATTCAGAATTAAACTTCTCTTACAGGAACACACCTAGCCTTTGAAAAAATTCCACTTATCTCTTTGATTGATTTTATTTACCTTTGAAGTCCCCAAACCAAAACCATCTACTAACAGAAAAGGAAATTGAAGTTGTGGATGGAATCAAGGTTGATTTTTGCAACCATGAAGAGAACAAAAAGTCTTAAAGAAATGAAAACTGATTATCAGTCTTTAAGTTGCTTCTGGTTCTTGATGCCTTGTAAAGGAAAGACAACATATAATTTTTGATAATTGTGGAATATGTAATTATCAAAACTTACTCTTCTTTACTTAAGACTCTAAAAACTCAAAATGTATTTTCCTGAGATCATTCATTAACCATACAAAAAAAAAAAAAAAACCCACTTATTTCATTCTTTGTACAAGATACTATAATACATGTTAGGATTTTATAAAGTGAAAAAAAAAACAACTAATACAGTGGATTACGGAAATAAGGACTTTACACAATAACAGATATGTTTAGAAAGTAGCACTCTTGTAAGCATATTGTAAAAGGGACTCAAGGCCTTTTGAGGAAGGAAATATCATTTCAACCTTCATTTAAAAAGGGGAGGGGTAAAAAAGAGAGACAGAGAGGCAGATCTAAAGACAAAAGTCAGCTTAACAGAAGAGGTTAAACTGTTGAGCAGCATAGTGAAGGATGTTTAGGGTTTCCACTGTGGGAAAAAGACAATGAGCATTCCAAGTATAGAGAACAGCTGGTCCAAAGGAGTTCAGAGGAGCAGCAGAGGTTATTTTGAAGAACAAGTAACAAAGGTTCTGCCTACCTACACTCAAGCTTCAGAGACAGAATTACTACTCTATTTATTAAAAAACAAAACAAAACAGAAAACAACCTCGAACTCACTTCCATCAAGTCGATTTCGACTCATAGCAACCCCTCCTTGGGTTTCCGAGATGGTATCACTATGAAAGTAGACTGCCTAACCTTTCTTCCGGGATTATATTTATAGTACAAGGCAAATATTCTGTTTACATATCCATAAGTTCTATAGGTATTACCTGTTCTGTGTATACTTGTCCATATATTAAATCCAGGTGGCAAGTACTGCCTAGTCCACACAATAAAAAAAAAAAAAAAAAACTTGATTGTTATAGTGGTAGTAGGCAGTCCATTCCCACCAATATTCATTAAAAAAAAACTGCTAATCAAATAATCAAATAAAAATATTGATCCTTCATTTATTAAACAAGAATACCAAACTCCAAACCAAACTTACTGCCATCAAGTCAGCAACACCCATTGGGTTTCCAAGGCCTTTACCAAAGCACACTGCTCCATATTTCTTCCACAGAGTGGCTGATGGGTTCAAACCACTAATCTTTTGGTTAGCAGACAAATATCTTAACCACCATATCACCAAAGCTCCTCACTGAACAAGAACGAACCAGTGTAATTAGTGGCTAAAAGTTTGTAAGCTAAGCAAAACTTTCTGACTCCTGGATTGACCATTCCCTAACTGTATGAAATTGGGCAAATGTATAAACTCTGTAGAAGTTTCTTCATATGCAAAATGGAAGTAACCATACTATCTGTGTCATAGGATTGTTGCAAGCAATTACTAAATTAATATATTTATAAAAGTGCCTGGGACATAATGAACGTCCACTATACTGCTGCAACAAGTATATACTGAGGGCTTAGGACTAGCTTCATGCTGGGGATGGTAACAATTAAGACAAAAAACTTTCATTCTTATAGAGATTACTTTCTAGTGGTGAAAAGCAAAACAACTGCCAAATTATAAATTTCATTCTCTTCAAAGGAGATTTTTAGATAATTTTCTAGATGGTTTATATTTTAACTAATTAAAAGATGCAATTTATGGGGATTTATTTTAGGGCAAAAAGTGGACAAGTACACAAATATATTTATAAGTACATTCACTAGCACTGTTCATTATAGCAAAAAATTAGACTTTTACAGTATCAAAGAACTGGAAGCAATATAAATATCCAAAAATAGGAGTTTGGGGGAAAAAAAAAGTCTTACTTATAAAAATTGGAAAAAAATTGCATCCATTTAACAAACAACAAGATAGATAAAACTATTTTTATAGCTAAAGCTATATTCTATAACATTATATTTTTCTTTTTGTATAATTTTTAAAATTCTGTAAATCTCAAATATATAGAAATGTTGCATGTAAAGAAGAAACAACTTGTTTTCCTTTACCATTTCAGACTAAGTTGCTGACCTAACACCTCATCACATCTAAATACTTTCAGAATGTATTTACTGAAACAAGTGTTTTCTCCTACATAACCTCAATACACCCACCAAAGTCAAAATAATCACACTGAGATATTCTAAAATAAAACCAAACTCACTGCTATTGAGTCGATTCTGACTCACAGCAACCCCCTTGGGTTTCCAAGGTGGTAAGTCTTTACAGAAGTAGATTGCCCAGTCTTTCTTCCCCGGAGTGGCTGGTGGGTTTGAACTGCCAACCTTCTGGTTAGCAGTCAAATGCTAGCACTAGCGGTTTACCACCATCAAATCCTCAGCTTCCAATCAAACTTTGCCAACCATCCCAATAATGTTCTTTATAGCGAGAAAATTCAGTTCAGAATCATGCATTTACATGTCAAGTTGTTATACCTCTAGTCTCCTTCAGTCTACGACAATTCCTCAGCCTTCTCTTGACTTTTATGACCATGACCCTTTTGAAGAGTTATTCTGCAGACTGTCCTCTAATTGCTGTTTGCTTTATGTTTTATCATGAAGCTCTGGTGGCACAGCACCTAAAACATCTAACTGCTAACCAGAAGGTTGGTGGTTCAAACCTACCAGCCACTCCACAGAAGGTGTGTTGTTGTTGTTAGGTGACATCGAGTCATCACCAACTCATAGTGACACTACATACAACAGAACGAAACACTGCCTGGTCCTGTGCCAACCTCAAGATCCTTGTTATACCTAAGGTCATCGTTGCAGCCACTGTGTCAATCCATCTCTTTAAGGGCCTTCCACTTTTTTGCTGACCCTCCACTTTACCAAGCATGACATCCTTCTCCAGGGAACAGTCCCTTCTGACAACATGACCAAAGTAGGTGAGACAAAGTCTGGCCATTCTCGCTTTCAAGGAGCATTCTGGTTGCACTTCTTCCAAGACAGATCTGTTGGTCCTTTTAGCAGTCTGTAGTACTTCCAGTATTCTTCGCCAACACCACAACTCAAAAGCATCAATTCTTCTTTGGTCTTCCTTATTCACTG